ACCAACCCATATCCACCCTCAATACACTATGTCCCACCCCACCCATACTCTCCTCCAACGCTCCATATCCCATCCCACTAACCAACCCATATCCACCCTCAATACACTATGTCCAACCCCACCCATACTCTCCTCCAACACTCCATATCCCATCCCACCAACCCACCCAAATCCGCCCCAGTACACAATAATACAAACCCACCAACCCACCCATACTCACTTCAAATACATCATATCCAACCCACTAACACACCCTTATCCAACCCAGTACACAATAATACATCCTCACCAACCGACCCATACCCATCTCCAATACACCATTTCCCATCCCACCAACCCACCCATACCCACCCCAAATGCACTATGTCTCACCCCACCCATACCCACTCCCAATACACAATATTATTATACAACCCCATCAACCCACCCACATCAACTTCTAATACACTACATCCCACCCCACCCCCTCCTATACCCACACCCCTTACCACAGCATATCCCATCCCACCCCCACGATACACCACACCCCCACCACATCTGACCCCACCCGCACCAATACCATTACACCCCCCACACTCAAACACACACACACACACACACACACACACAGGGGGTATAGTTGTTTATCGTTTAAGTTAAGGTTTAAAGTATTTTTTAGGTTCTCTTTTCTTTTTTTTTCTTTGGGGCGGGGGTATAGTTGTTTATCGTTTAAGTTAAGGTTTAAAGTATTTTTAGGTGGTCTGGTGCGGTTTGCTCTTTCTTTCCTATGGAACATAATATCAAATCTGCCTAATCCCTCCAACTTTATTTGTTTGTATGTTAATCTCCAGTGACCCCCTTAATCTTCTGCTCTTACATCACCTAATTGTGTCGCAAGTGCCGTAAATCTCTTACTAAAACGAAACGAAAACCGGCCCCTGCCCTACCCCCAACCCCCAAGGTAATAATTGGCAGGATCAAAACCCGCACAATGCAACATGTCGTAAAGTACTAACATGTATCAATCAGACCGGTCACCCAAAACCTAACCAGCTAGTTATAGCGAAAGGTTGTCGCAAAACCAACACGTTTGTCCTCTTATGGGCTTTACAAGCAAGAATATTAGAAGCTCTTTCGAAAAGCTTTCTCGGGAAACGGTTCCGACCGACTTGTTTCAGCCCCTGGCAAGTTGTCAGGCATTCTGTTTAGGTGGTGTGACATTTTGCCTGCCACCCCACTACACCCTGACCACACTACATCCCACGCCAACCCATTCCCAATACAATACACCATATCCCACCCCACTACACCCTGACCACC